GTGCCCTGCGCGCTTGGACCTTGGGTCAGAGGGCTCCTTTCCCCAAGGGAGGTCCCACAAGAAGCAGCCCTGCGGCTCCAGAGCTGAGGGATTCGAAGGTCCCCTTTTCAGTGCAGCAGACCTAGCTGAGGACAGTGCCTCGGATTTAGTCCCTAGTCCAGGTTGGGACAGGGCTGGGGGCGTGCGGGGAGTGCCCCTGTCAAGTGTGCACTTGGCTTCTCTATGGGCGTCGTGGCTTGCAGGCGGCAAGGGTGTCTTCCCGGCTGGTCCCGCGGCGAGGACTCGGGTGGTGACAGTTGCTGGGACGTCAGTTCGAGCTACAGCTGGCTCCCCCTGCGCGTCAGCTGCGGAGAGGAAGAGACTGATGCGTTCCGACCACCTCCCGAAGATTCCTCTCCAGCCGATACTTTCTCCCTGCTGGGGGGCACCGACTGAGTTTGGGGCGCGCCTGTACCCCTAAATTGGGAAACTTGCTCAAAGAAAAGGAAGTTGGAAAGTTCTCCTATAAGTCATTTCTTATGTGGAGAGGCCCAGATTCCGACAATCCAGGCCGTATTCTCCAAATTCCCCGAGGGAGAGATGAACAAACCTGGATGATCCAAATTGCAGCTTTCCATGTCTTTTTCCCAGTGAAGACAGAGCTGTGCTGGCCTGAGCGCCTCCCAGAGTGAGCGGGAACCCAGCGCCTCACTTTCCATTCTCCCAGAAGAAGGATGTTTATGGGGGCTGCAGGTTTTCCCCTGCACTAGGGACTGAGGTTGATGCTGTCTTGAGTAGTTCTTTAATCCACGTGGCAAAAAGGGGATTTTTAAAACACATGGCCCATTTTCTCACTTACGTGTATTTTTTTTTTTTTCAAAGCTTCGGCCAGCGACTCCTTGGTAATTCACAAGGCTGCATTGAAATTTAACCCGTTTCTTTTTAAAACAAAGCGCTCCAGAGGGGGGCGGGTGGAGTCTAGGCGTGGGGGCGTGGAGCCCGCCTCTTGAGCCCAGAGCGAATCTTTGGAGCTTTTGCTCAACTTAATTTTCAGAAAAAGACTAAGGTGGTGTCATATGGGTTTTTTCAGATGGGAGGGGCGGAAAATTAAGCAAATTCGAGCTTCACAGTATGTAGATAAACTTGCTACTCTCTCGCCTCGGGCTATCGCTGCCAGTGATGAAGACCTTTAGAGAGGAAAAAAACTAGGTTTCTTCGAGGGGCGGAAAAGTAGAAACGCGCGGGACGAGAAAGGTAATTGTTTTTTTCTTTTCTTTCTTTATTGAGACAGGGTCTCACTAAGTAGTTCATGCTGGTCCTGAGCTCACTTTGTAGCCCAGGCTGGCCCGCAACTCACAACAATCCTCCTGCCTCAGCCTACCGAGTGCCAGGATTTAAGGGCATGTGTCACCACGCCCGGCTTGTTCTGGTTTCTTAAAAAAGCCAAAAAAGTAGATACGGAGAAGGAAATATTAGAAAGTGCCTAAAGGATAAAGGTTTGCAAACTTCTTGCGAGGTTGGATACATCAGGAGAAGCTTCATCTGCCCAGGCGCGTGGGAAAGTTTGGGCCTGCTACTCAGTTTCCGAGTCCAGGAAAAGAAACCGCTCTTGCATATCTAAACATCGGATCCCCCGCATCCCGCGTGGGTGAACGCCGCCGGGCCAAGCAGACTTCCCAGGTCAGACCAAGGGCTGGCAGCTCCCCGCGTGCTCCGGAGCGCGGCGCGGCAGTGCGGGAGGGAGTGTGAGGCCGATCGGCTCCAGCCCGCTGGGTGAGTGGGGCGCGCACGGCCCCCCCACGCCGTACCTGGATAAAATATGCTAGGCCTGCGCTTCTCGGGTTCATCAAGGCTGCGGGAGCCTCCCCGAGCCATCATCTTTTGTAATTGCAACCGTCAATCAACGCTTTAACACAAAGTCAGAAGCGGGAAGGCCGAGCCCTGGGAGACCAGTCACGTTAGCAAGAAGGAGAGGCGCGAGAGATGGAGAGAAGGGGAAGAAGTTTGCCAGAAGTTGGCAGCAGGCGAACTGGGAAGGAATTAAGGACGCGCCGGTTATCTAATACTAGAGCTGTGTCCCTGGCTTCTGGTCTCTGGTCTCCAGCGGTTAATCCGCGGGAATGAGGCCAGAGGTATTCCACGACTACTGGCTCTGAGAGGAGGAGTGGGGTTGGGTAAAAGATGCACTCGGCCAGAGATGGGCTGCGTTTGCCCGCCTGGTTTTGCAGATGTCGTGGTCCATCGAGACCACCACAGGGAACAGCGCTGAGAACACACAAGGGCGTGATCCACCTGTGTCCATCTGGACTGCCTCCCATCTCTGTTGGCCACAGGCCTCTTGGCCTCACACCTTCCTCGGGAGCCTAGAACTGTCCCGGGTAATCGGTCACAGACACTGCGAGCTGGAGCCCCTGCACCGTTCTACAGAGAGGGCCTTGCAGGGGACGCGGGGCTCCGACCAAGGTCACAGAGTAGGCGGGCCTTTGCCTTCCGCGGGGTCCTCAGCCCAGTACAATCGAAAGGTCAAGGGACCAGGGTGAGCGTTCAGAAAGGAGGAGTGCAGAGGCCATGGGAGACTGGTACTGCGCTCGGTGTGGGAGCCTGGCTCCGTGCCCCTCCCTCCGCGTCTGCACCGGGGTTGAGATCCGCACCTCTACCAAACTCCTGGAGGAGCTGCCCGGGGAAAGGTGAAAGCGCCTTTGGATCTCTGACAAGACCCGACTCCAGTAAAATTTCCCTTTTCGTCAGCCGCTGGAGGGGGTTTCGGAGGTCCCTGGAGAGAATCTGGAATTGGGCTGCCCTGGGGAGCTTTTCCCGCCCTGGAGGGCCTAAGGCTACCGGGCTTCCGCGCTCTGAGTCCCTGGGTTCCTAGAAAAGGTAGTTTCCTCTCTGCTTGAGACCTCTGGCTCTTCCGTGCCCCTTCCGTTCAGAGCAGAAGGTTCTGCTTGGACTAAACCTTTAAAGTAGGGAGGAAAGTTCTGGACTTGTCTTTCACCCGTGCTCCTAAACTTTAAAAGTTCGACTGCAAGCCCCACTTCCTTTCACCTCATTTCTATCTTTGAGCATTTTCTTAGAAATGTACCTGTAGGCGATATATGGATGCCAGCTGGCCTTTTGCCACCATCGCTGTCTGTCTTGGAGGATGTAGGAGGGCACACTGCCCTGGTGGGGGAAGTCACTCATGTGGCCTAAGCGGAGTCCCTTCCAGCTCTGAAGCTGGTGTTAACAGCATGACCACAAAATTTGCTTCTCTAGGTCAGTCTCTGCCTCAAGTCACAGATTTCTTGCCACACTGCAATTACAAGGTCCTGTGAAATTCCCTGTGAACTTTTTTCAGCTCTCTTGATCTCCTCCTCCTGGGCCACGCAGAGTCCATGCCACACAGGACTGGAAGCTTGTTCTTAGGATCAAGCTGTGGAGTCCTGCATCCTTGGAGGTGGGGGGATTGGGGAGGTCTTGCATAAGTGGCCCCAGCCTCTTTGAATTGCAGTGGGAGAAAACCTTCTCCAGGCTTTGAAACAAACTGATTTTCCAAGTTCACCTAAACTGACAATCAAAGCAGGAGAAACAATGATCTTCTTTCTGTGATGTTATCATAAATATCTAAGCTTCTTAAGCATTACTCATTTTGGCAACTTTAGCCCACTTCCCAATACACAGTAATGACTTCCCTAAATTTAAAATTTAAGTGTTTCCATGAAACTGAAATACAAGTAAAGCTAACATTTTAAAAATACAGATTCTGAAGGTAGATAGGCAAAAGGACAATTTAGTTCAGAGAGAATAGTACCTGACTTGCCAGGAGTGGGTGCATGATATGCAACTCACTTCATATAAAAGTGTAAATTATACACTGCAATGATTGGAATCATTTTAAATTCATTAAATAGTAGACTGGGCCATTTGAATGTGTGATCTCTGCCATTTAAATTGAATAAATTCAGATCTTTTGAGATTCAAATTCACCCCCTTGTGGGTAGATTCTGATAATTAACCCTGTTGCACAACAGACCCCGAATATGAGGCTTTTCGGATGCAGTCAGGAGGCTGGAAAAAAATGTTTTTCATCTCGTTGGGATGAAATCTGAAAACTTTGAAGATGTGGCTGGGCTGGTGGCCGAAGAGCTTGCATAACAGATGGTTCTTTAAAACTTTTTGTTTTTTTTTTTAAAAAATGCTGAGCCTCTGGGCCTCATGTGGATCTGTCCCACCAAAGAGACACCAGAATGGAAAAGGCAAGCAGTGACAGATCTGTGCATTCTGTATGGAAATACTATTCACTAAAACTAGGAAGCCTGTCACCAAGATAATCGTGGGCTCCGGTGCAGGGTTCACAGTGTGCAAAGTCGCAGAGCTGGGGAGCGGAGGGGCAGCCCCTTCCCCTAATCTCCCGCAAGTAAGTGAAACCTCAGGGACACGGATGTTCCCTCACCGAGTGCCCAACCTCGCTCGGGCCCTCTTAGGCACTCGGGCCCCACGCGCTGGCCTGTTGAAACGCTGAAGGTCGTGGGAGAGCAAAGCTGCGAGAGCCCCGACTGTAGACCATCTCTGCGTTGGAGAAGAGACGGCTGCTGAATTCAAAACCCCTTCTCTCCTTAAGTGAGCGTTTGCACTCCTCTCGGTCTCCTCACCGGACAAGACAGCGAGGGCACGTGCCCACAGCCACGCGCGCCCTAGCCCTTCTCCCCCCGCTAGCAGAGATCGCCGCCCGGCCCTGGCTCCTAATCCCCGGGCGCGGCGCTCAGGCAGAGGTCGCTTCTGGCCAGCTGCGAGACCCGGCAGCCTTTACCTCCCCCGCCCCAGGCCACGGTGGGTGGGAGTGGGCGAAGGCGGGGTGAAGAGGTTGGGCGAGCGGGGGACGGGATGGAGCATCCTCATTGGCTGGCGGCTGGTGTCCGACCTGAGTCCGGAACCCGCGTCCCGGCTCCCTGTCATCACCCTTCATCCCAGCCTCCCTACCCAGCCCCGGCCCTACTTACCTCCCTTCTCCTAGCCGAGCTCGGTTCCTTCCAGCGCCGTCGCCCTCGGGCTGGAAAGGGCCGCTCCCAGCCGCGCGCGCGGAGTGGACGCGCAGGAGAGGGAGGTCGGAACTTCACAACTCCGCGCTAGCGATAGGGAGCGCGAGGGAGGCAGACGGAGACGGGGAAGGGGCGGAGAGGCCGAGCGCGGGGAGAGGCGGGGAGAGCGGGAGGCGAGCGCCGCGGGAGAAGGGGAGCGAGACCCTGCCGATCGCGAGCTCAGGGCGGCGGAGGAGGACGGAGGCGCCCGGCCGTCCGGGAGCGGCGGCAGCAGCAGCCGGCGGCCGCCCGGAGCTCGGCGGCTGGAGGATCCGTGGCCCGGGCAGCTGTGCCCTCGCCGAGCGGAGCCGAGCAGAGCCGCGCCGGGGCGCCGGGACCTCGGCGTCCTCCCTCGCCTCGTAGCCCCGACCTCCTCGTCCGCGCGGGGTGCGGGACCGGACGGGGCTCCCAGGTCCCGGCCGGCAGCTCCGCGGGGGCGCGCGCCGGAGAGCGGGTGGGTGAGCGGCCGCCCCTTCTTCTTCCCGCCGGAGTTGAATGTGTGCTGCCCGTGTCCAGGTGCTGGGCCTCCGGACCGACACCGACCCCCCATTCCCGCCCGCGGCCGCCTTGTCATGCTGCCCAAAGTGGAGACGGAAGCCCTGGGACTGGCTCGATCGCATGGGGAACAGGGGCAGATGCCGGAAAACATGCAAGGTAAGGAAGGCGGCGCTGGCTCGGGCCGCGGCCGCTTCTCCACCCCCCATCCCGGCCCACGCCGCGGGCTGCAGCTCCCCGCCGAGGGGGGACAGGGGCGTAGGGCGTCGCGGGGCTTCACGCCCCCTCCTCAGGTACAGGCATAAAAGTTTATGCCCCTTCCCCAATGATATCTAATTAGCCGCCCCTAATTAAAGCGTGAGGCTTCGCGGTCTACGCAACTGGAGCGGTGAGGAGGGAGCTTGAGGCTGCACACACTTGGGGTGATAAGGTCCTGAGGACGGGAAGGTTTCACTGGACACCCGCGCGGGCTCGGTCACTGGAATCGCAGCGCGCCGTCCTATTCACACGTGGAGGGAGAGGACTGCCCAGGGAAGCCAACTGCAGAGCGACAGGGCGACCCAAGAGAGGCCGTGTTAGCAGAATTAGAGTACGCTCCCCCTCCCCCAAGCTTGGGGACCCCCTAGAGCCGGCTCAGGTGCGGACAACTGCAAAACTGTAAAGCTCAAGGGAACCAAAGTCACTGCCACCCCATTCCCTGCCAGGGTAGTGACCAGTCGAGGGGCTATTAGTTTACTGCCCCTTCCGTCTGTGAGCTGTGACCATGGAGAGCCTATGTGTTTCCCCAGGTCTTGATTGCTAACAACAGAAAGAAAAAAAAAATTCTACTGGCTATATTTTCTCCACATTCCAAAATAGTCACTCTAGATCTGGCTTGTATTAACCCCGTCAGAAGTTTATCGCATTTGCCCGGGGCCAGGAGGGAACAATGCTAGGAAAAGTCACCGGTGCTCTTCCATCCTCGCCCCTTCCCGCGCGCAGGATGTGCGGGCCGGCGGGCCTGTGATCCTGCACGCTTCCTGCCATCCCCTTGCGCGAACTTGAAAGGGCCGGGAGGTGTTGAGAGCAGAGTTCAGGGCTGGCGTGCTCTTCGGCGCGGGGTAGGCAGCGCGCCCGGGGCGCTCAGGCTGGGGGCCTAGACTCCCACATCGCCGGGGGAGAAGGGGGTGGCAGGAGGACGTGCATTTTCCTCGTGGGGTCGGTTGTTCTCTCGACGATCTGGGGTCCCTCCGAGACTTCGGATGGGGGAAGCCGTGAAAATCCCCTGGGTTCAAAGCCCCGGAGAGCAATTTTGCGGGTTTAACTGCAGAGGATCCCGGTTAGCCTAAAGAGGCGTTTCTTCCCAGAATCTGGAATGGAAGAGAAGTGTGTCTTGGCGGAGGCCCCAGGGGGATCTGGCCGGAGCGTCTCTTCCGCCAGCCCCAGGAGAGAGACGTCTCCCCTTTTCGCCGCCCTCGGAGGCCCGCGCGCTTTTGGCTCCGAAAGGAAAGTTAGTTCTTCGCGTACGCATTCTGGCGCGGGCGTTCCCGAGACTGGTAAAGCAGCTTAGGGAGGCACTGGAAGAAGCTGAGAAGGGGAAACCCCAGGGTTTAATGGTGGAGGAGTATCCAAGATGATATTTTCTTGGTAAAGTTCTAGAGGCGCCTTCCTGGCACTAGCTTAGGCCCCCAGTGGGGAGCACCGGCTTGCTGTGTGTCCGGGGCTCTGGAGAGTCCCCCCCCCCCACCCCGGCCGCTTGCCAGGGTCTGGGTTCAAAAGCAGCACCGGGAGAGCCTGGGCACGGTTTCCTCCAGGACCCAGCCTGTCTGTCGGAAGAGATCGTGGACCCCATTCCCTTGCGTGCTCTAGTTCCAGCGCCTTAGTGCAGCCTCTCCGGGGTCCAGAAAGAGGGTCTGCTGCTGGGTTCTCAGCGCGGCACACCCAGCCCCGCGGGAAGTTTTTGGCGCGCCCGAGGCCACAGCTTTCCCGGACCCTGTAGATATCTCCTCTCCCCAGATGGAGACCAGGGAGAGCGCAAAGACTTTGCTGCAATGGATTCGCTTGTCCTTCCGCTGCACCAGGGTACTGGTGACCCTAAGATGCCCCAGCCACCCACAGCGGCGCCTGTCTCCCCACTCAGCCTCTCTCTTTTTAATTTTTCAACAGGAGCCCCATTCCTAGAGCTAGGTCTTTAGGGTGTTAGACCCCGAGGAGGGTACGGAACCCTTCCTTCTGTAAGAGGCTGCCTGCCTCTCTGTGCCCATAGGTGTAAAGTTAAGAGTTTATTTGTTCCAGGGAAAAGCAGGTAGAAAAAGAACATACTTTACAAATACAATATTTTTCCGTCCTTAAAACATGGTTTGAGTTTTCAGAGTGCCATAAACGTGTAGGCTAAAAAGAACTTGTTGAACTCTCAGTGACTCGCCAAACCCTGGGCACCCTAAACCCAGACAGGGCTTCTCAGGGCCGGATTTCCAACCTGCATGCTGGTAAACTGCGCACAGCATCCCTTACTTCTGTGTGTGGCCTTTCCCAGAGCCTCTCCTCCTGGGATTCTCCCAGACTCTGGCGAACTCCTCCTCCTAAGCCCCAGCCAGGACCCTGTCTGGGGAGGGACACTGAGGCCACAGGGACACCCTCCACCGCCACTCCGACGGCGCTTTCCGAGGCTCTCAAGAAAAAAGAACTTTATTTAAAAAAAAAAAAAAAGGCACTGGCCAAGAGGTCCCTATGGTGACAAAGTGGTCGGGGTGGGGGTTTGGCGATAGGGCGGGGGCTACTTCTCTCGGTTTTTGGTAAACAAATCAGAGGAAACTTCTGCTGGACTGTGGTTACCCCCTCCCCCGCACCCCCCCAGCTCCACCCCCTGCAGTGCCACTGATTAACTTAAAACAAACTGGCCTCTGCGTTTGTACTCCATTGGGTAGCAGAAGGTTGAGCAAGGGACGGGAGCCGGGCGCGCCCGAGGGTTTGGGAGCGGGTTCCCGGGGAGCAAGGTCGGCCGCGCCTCCGAGCTGCGCAGACCTGCCCGGCGCCCTCGGCGCCCGCCCCCGCGCGCGCCTGCAGCCGCGCTCCTCCGCGAGCTGTGCTCGGGACTCGAGCTGCGCGAGTGCAGAGTCTCCGGGAAGTACCTGAGCAGGTACTTCTGGGGGGCCCCTGGTCCCTTCTCTTCACGTGCATAGTTTATCTTTTGATTTAAGACGCCTTCCTGTGTTAGCGTCCAGAGGAAGGCGATGACCCGAGCCGAGCTGTGAGCAGGGACCTGATTTCTGCCTAACAGGGCGATCTCCAGGTGTTGATACTCCTCAATGATGATCTGAAACACGTGAGGTTTATTATAGGGCGTCGGTCGTTGGTACTTTCCGACGAAATGAAATCTTTATGTCTTTCTTTTCCTCTGCTACACCACACACACACACACACACACACACACACACACACACACACACACACACACGCCGTCCAGAGTCCTTTCTTTTCTTTTTATTTCCACAGGACTGTTGTAAACTCGAGGTGAAAGTAACCAGGAGTACTGTCGATACAGAACTGAATGTTTCGATTAATCTAACAGATCTGAACACTGGGAGCCGCAGGCTGTTGAAGTTGGGCAGTGCTGAGAAGCAGGTTTCTAAAGTCTCAGCTCCTCAGTGGAGCAGCGGTTACACATATAAATGGGTGCTGCTGTCCTTACCAGCCAGGTGTACTGGCAGCAAACTGCTGTGAGAGTGGGGGAGTAACGGGTGTGCTTGTTTCTCTCCGAAGGCAAAGGTGACATTTTGGAACTGAACTTTGCAGAGACTTAAAACCAATTCTAGGTTCGCTGCTTTATGCAATTCATGTTTCCCTGCTGATCTGGTGCTTTGCAGAGTTAGGAGACTTGGTGTTCAACAGTTCTCGGTTTAGAATGTTAGCAAGAGAAGTTGGAATTATTTTTAAGTTTAGTAATGTGAAGTGCATGTTCACTGGTGCCCAAAGAGGTTTTACTTTCACTGTGTAAAAATACACAGTACCACCTGGGTAAAAATTATTTTTTTATTTTAGAACTTACCTAGTGATATTTTGCCAACCTATCACCAAAATGCTTTTCTTTGCATAGTGAATTAACTGGCCGTACATGTACATTGCTCTTTTTTGTTTCAGTGTCTCAATTTAAAATGGTGAATTACTCCTATGATGAAGATCTTGAAGAACTTTGTCCTGTGTGTGGCGATAAAGTGTCTGGGTACCATTATGGGCTCCTCACCTGTGAAAGCTGCAAGGTTTGCTTATGTGTTGCTACCTTTAAAAAATGCAATGTTCAAGACCAAAAGAAGCCATTTGAATTACTTTTCAAGGCTAAATTTAGGCTGTTTTATTTTACTCAAAAAATGAGTGCGAGAGAGAGCTAGTCTTTCGGAGATGATTCTTAGAAATATGTGTCTGATTTAGTTCAAAAGGCAAGGAAATTTATGCTGTTTAGAAAACTTTGCCAGTCTCATGGCCTTAAAATACTTTATTGTAGGAAAGTGATACTGCTGTGGAATGGTTGCCATTTCTTACACTAAATATTGATTTCACTTGAGTTATATATATTTAAAGCATTGTTGGTCTTCAGAAGCAACATGACAAAGTATTTCCCAAATAGGTTTTAACTTCAGGGTGCTTTGTCCTACAAATGTAAGCATTTTTTATCCACAGATATAAAAGCCTAAGTCCCCAGCTTCATGATTTCATCCTGATTTATTCCAAAAATAATTTTTAAGATTTTTGAAATTTGTGTTATAATGACAAAGAAACTGGGTTTTAGTTTCCGAATTTTTTAAAATAAGTGTATCATGTGATGTATTTAAATGCAAGGAATCTGAATATGTAAAAATGTCCTCTGTTGTTAGGAATATCTATGATACCTTAAGGATTTATGTTAAACTTTTTTGTATAGTCCTCGTTAACTCAGTGTTGACTAATTTTTAAACTGTTTTGTTTTTAAAGTTAAAGACAGTTCAACACAATTAATTAAAACATTGCCAGGAAAACCCTTTATAGTCTCTGTTACAAAGTGAGATTGTTTCCCTTGATGGCTAGTAGTATAAACAAGAGTACTGTTTTATAAAGCCGTTGTTCTACTACAAAGTTATAAACTTAATTTTTGATTAATCCATTTGAATGAAATATAATCAATGCACAAATTCTGCTGTAATTCAGTTTCATGATATTCTTTTTCTCATTAGTTTCACTTTTTTAAAACACAGTGCTCATACTTGAATGTATTCCAGTGGGGAATTATGAGCATTTTCCCATTTTACTCTTTAAATCCTTTTACTTTTAACTATCCAGTGTTGACATTTCTCAAAGATCTGAAGTATTTTATTATTCAGTTTTTCCATTGGCATTTTTGCAATGGTTTGTCACTGAAATTGTATCAGACTACTTAAAAACAATGCAGACTTCTATGAGTACTCTTGTCTGGAACATGAAGCTTAATAGGAAAATAGGTAAAAATCACTGGTCAATATAGAGTGTGTTTTTTCTATTAGAATGAAATAGTGTGAGCCTGGTGTGGTAGCACACACTTGTAATCGCAGCACTTGGGAGGCTGAGGCAGGAGGATCATAGCAAGTTCAAGACCAGTCTGGGCTACACAGTGAGCTCAAGGCCAGCCTGAACTGCATAGCATGATCCTGTCTCAAAAAGATAAATCAATCAATCAATAAAATAAAGAATGAAATGGTGTATAGATAAATCTCCCCAAGATTTGATGTAATTCATCAGGAACATAACTGAGACCAGAAAAATTTCTGTTATGTCCTGGCACTGTTTTGAAGGATTATATTGCTGAAATGTAAAGTAAACTACAGAACCACGTAAGGGTTCCAGTGTTGCAGTGAAAGGATTTACTGGTGATTTCTTTAAAATGAAACAGTGAAAGAGACTGGTGTTCGATTTATAACATATCTCACTATTTTCTGTCTTGTAGGGATTTTTTAAGCGAACAGTCCAAAATAATAAAAGGTATACATGTATAGAAAACCAGAATTGCCAAATTGACAAAACACAGAGAAAACGTTGTCCTTACTGTCGATTTCAAAAATGTCTGAGTGTTGGAATGAAGCTGGAAGGTAAGATTCTTCTGCAGACTGCTGCTATTAAGTCTCTAAGGATGAGGACTTTAAAACAACACTACTTATAACATGGTAACATTATTTCCCCAGTCTTTTAACACTACTGACAATAATGTCAGATCATTTTATATTTTGTCTGCCGAATAGTCGGAGTCTCATGGTAACATCTAGTAAGAAAGAAATGTACAGAAGTCCCCCTTCTTGTGAGTTTGGGAAACAGAAACTTTGATCAATAAAACTAGCTAATAGACAAGACCAAAGTAATTCAACTGAGTACAAACAAAAATAATTTATTAAAACATGAAAAATAAGATACCTGTTACATTTTTAAATCAAAAGTTTGCTTTCAATCCTTTTAATAAGTGTGCTGATCACAATTGTTTTGTGAGTAATATTTAGTCTTTCCTCATGAAAAGTTTCTCAGGTAAAATTTCATTATTTTGTAGTATAGGAATGTGCATTTGTTTTTTTTTTGAAAGATAATGACTGAGCCTGCGAAATGAAACAATTGAGAAGCAAGAAACGTGAAAAATAGCTATTAAGTCAGTAATGGTGGGTGCCAAGAACAAGAGACTGATGGTAGTGGTCGTTCCCCATAAGATACACTAAACTTTGTTTAAGGAGCAAAACCTACATGACGGCATTCGGATTGGTAGGCTGTAAAGTTAATGTGTGACTGCTGTAAATAATTTGTAGTGCATGGATTGTAATAGCGGGCGCTGCTGGTTTTCAGCCTTTGACCTACTGGCTTTTTACAGATTAAATATACTGCAAATAAAGTAATAATGAGAGACACAGCGCTCTGATGGTGCCAGATACAAGACTGCATTTTAGTTGATCAATGACACGCAGGCTATTTTTATTTGGAGCTTTTTTTTGTCATTTGGAACTCTTACTTAATAGAAATAAGAAAAAAAAAATTTAAATAAATCTTCCAGATTGCCAGGAAATTTCTTCCAAGCAGCCACATTGATGATCATGAAGACTATTAAAGTCAATACTGTATTGCTTTAAGAAAAGACTGAGAAGAGAAATAACTACTGTTTATTAATTTTCTTACCATTAGTCACTATTATTTACTAAATAGCAGTATGTTTTGGTGGATGCTTATTGCACTATGAGAAGACAGATGTGAAAAGATAGATGATATGATTTTATATGATGTCATTTGATTTTTTAAAAAAGAAACGAAAGAAAAAGGTTGCATTTCTTTACATTGAAAATTATGTTTTATTATACATCAGTCACTCGGGATATTCATACTTCTTAAAAGTGGTATGAAACAATTGAATATTAGGTAAATTATCATCCAGATGAAAAAATCTTTATGATCTTATGCAGTATTCTAGATACCTAGAATTCACAATAAATTTTTAATGTGATACTAATCCTAAGATAAAAAGCTCAGAAACTTAACCTCCAGCAATTTTAGTATGTCACAGGCTGTCAGAGGTTGCTGGTTTCTGTCTAATTGCCATTGGCCACCACCGGCTTGGAGAGAGCAGCTAACTAAGGTATTAGGCATGGCCCCAGCTCCACACACAGGGTGGCAGAAGAGCCTCTGGACAGCTTTAGGGAGGAATTTGCTTTAATTATTGTCCAATTCTGCTGAAATTAAAAGCAATAACTGGCTGTTATCTGATAGGCACTTACTAAGTCCAGGTGAAAATGGATTTTCCAAAAAGGACATATATGCAGTCCTTTTGCAACAAAGAAGCCACAATGGTCACAATTTAATTCAGAAGTAGATTGAGTGTGTGTGCATTCGTGTGTGCATGCATATTTGCACACATGTCTTTCTGAGACAGGGTTTCACTATGCAGATCAGGATAGCCTTGAATTCCCTTTGTAGCCCAGGCTGGCCTCAAACTTGCATTAGTCTTCTGCCTTAGCCTCCCCAATCCTGGGATTATAGGAGTGCACCACCACACCTGTCATTGATCCCCCCTCAAAAAACTCAAAATAAAAGAAAACAAACCCAAAGTGGATTTGGTTCCATAAAGAATTACCCCATACCACTGGGTTTGGAGGTATGCACCTTTAATCCCAGTGCTCAGGAAGTTGAGACAGGAGGATTTCTTTGAGTTTGAGGCCAGCCTGGGCTACAAAGTGGGTTCAAAGCCAGTATTCACTGCAACATAGTGAAATTCTGTTTCAAAAAGACCGCAAAAACCAAAGACAAAGTAATACCACATACCTGGCACTATAGAAACTATACTCCGATGAGCCAGGTGTGACTTGCCCTTAATTCCAGGATTTGAGAGGCTGAGGCAAGAGGATTGTTGTGAGTTGGAGGCCACCCTCAGCTACATACTGAGCTCAAGGCCAGCCTGAACTCCATGGCAAAAGCCTATCTCAACATCTCCCCTCAAAAAGACAAGAAACTGACACTCCTAATAAGAAAACATGCTCTTTCTTAGCAAGTATCCTCACATAAAGCAAAGATTATGAAACCTTTGGTTGACAGAAGGGTGTGTTCAAACATTTTTGATAGCAAAATACACTTGGAAGAATTCATAAGTAAATAAAGAAGACATGCTTTTATTTTGTTTCTTTCTTGGAACATGTGTGGGATATTGTAATGAAAACCACACAGAAACCATGTCTGTTCAATTCTCAACATTTCAGATATCTGGAGATGCTGGAAAATGCTGATAATTTGCATTTCATTTACATACTCTTCCTTTTTTCTTTTCCCTCCAGCCGTAAGGGCTGACCGAATGCGTGGAGGAAGGAATAAGTTTGGGCCAATGTATAAGAGAGACAGGGCCCTGAAGCAACAGAAAAAAGCCCTCATCCGAGCCAACGGACTTAAGCTAGAAGCCATGTCTCAGGTGATCCAAGCAATGCCCTCTGACCTGACTATCTCATCTGCGATTCAGAACATCCATTCCGCCTCCAAAGGCCTACCTCTGAACCATGCTGCCTTGCCTCCCACAGACTATGACAGAAGTCCTTTTGTAACATCCCCCATTAGCATGACAATGCCGCCTCATGGCAGCCTGCAAGGTTACCAAACATATGGCCATTTTCCTAGCAGGGCCATCAAGTCTGAGTACCCAGACCCCTACACCAGCTCGCCTGAGTCCATCATGGGCTATTCCTACATGGATGGTTACCAGACCAGCTCTCCAGCCAGCATCCCCCATCTGATACTGGAACTTTTAAAGTGTGAGCCGGATGAGCCTCAAGTGCAAGCCAAAATCATGGCCTATTTGCAGCAAGAACAGGCAAACAGGAGCAAGCACGAAAAGCTGAGCACGTTTGGGCTCATGTGCAAAATGGCAGATCAGACCCTCTTCTCCATCGTGGAGTGGGCAAGGAGTAGCATCTTCTTCCGGGAGCTGAAGGTACGTTCCAGCCACAGAGCTCACACTGTCCTCACATAGTGTTGGTGCTGAAAATAGATTCTCCTTTTCTGGTTTGTATGACTGGGAGAGTAGAGGTATCTCACGACCATTACTTCAGTCTGGACTCTGGTAGCTTCACTTTATGGCTTTTGTTTTGTGTAGCTCTTAATTTGAGGGGTGACATTTAAGCCAAAATATATTGGAAGCAAGTTTCTGTTGTCCCTCACCCCAGAATATATAGGGCTGGAGATATAGCTCAGTGGCACAAGTGCCTGCCTGGCAAGTATAAGGTCCTGGTACCAAAAAAAAAAAAAAAGAGTGGATATATTCTCTTGAATTTAGAGGCTTCATAGCCAAAACAGATTTAATGTCTAATAGTACCTGGTAAAGTACTTTTAAAAGTTACCAAGTAATGAGCTGTATTAAGTGGTGTCATCTTGAAGTTATTTTCAAAGGAAAAAAATGCCAATATTGAGTATGCTTATGCCCTGAAGAATCCAACCCCTAGTTAGTAGTATCAAATAGGTATTTACTATCTGTTTGCCTTGACATTAGGTTGGTAAAGCCTTTGTTTTTGGAGCAGATTCCAATAGGATGTTTGCTGTCATTGAGTGGGGAATGGCAAGTAGTGTTAGTCCACTGGGTTTGGGTTTTAGGCCTTGTGATGTGTGCCTGCTGTTTATTTTAGTGGATTGGTACATTGCAAACACAGTACTTGTTTGTATAAGGATCTGTGTTTAACTACATAATTATTTTATTTCCTGAAACATTAGACTGAATTAATATAGAAAAGTTACCTAGAAGTCTGGCATCTGAGTGGCTACCAAGCCACATTTGGTAGCCAGTGGTTTCATTTCTGACTGAATTTAAGCTCCTTTTTTCATTTTGTTTTTTGAGATGGGGTCTCACTGTGTAGTTTAGGCTGTCTTAGAACTCACATGTAGTCTAGGCTGGCCTCCAACTTGCAGTGAGCCTCCTGCTTCAGCTTTGTAGGTGCTGGAATTGTAGGTGTGCACTAATTGCCTGATTTATAAATGTGTTGTAGATTTGGTTTCTACAGATATTCTGCTATAAAATCAGTTTCTTCCTTTCTCTGTCATGAGAGAGATGGTTGGTAAATCTCTGCGGCTTGCAATTACCTGGAGCAGGGAGATCTTTAAATCTCTGGGAAAAGGAAAGTAACAAGGCAGATTTAAATGTAGGTAGAGGGTTATTGTTTATAATGCTCTGTGCAGGACACAGAAGGACTGTGGTGGACTGGGGAATATGGGAGCCATCTGAAAGTGGAAAATAATGCTTTTTATAGACGTCTTCTTCACACACTGCTGTTTGTTTAAAAAAGTTGTGTGGATGTATCTAAATAAGTTATGAAATATCATAGCATGCTTTTAGGACTTGCTGGCATATCCTGTTTTTTTACTATCACGTCCTTTATGATTTCACTGAAAGAAGGCTGTGGTGTAGATGTCACCATAGACTGCACAGGTCAGGCAGAGTGTGTCAGGTGGTGTCATCAGGCAGAGATGTTCTGTGCATGTAGATACTACATGGTCATCAGAGCCCAGTTCATTTAGGAGCCAAAAACATCAACAACAACAAACGCCAGCTTTCCTGGTATTCTTACATTTACGGTCACATCCTTAGGAGACCAGGTATGGGAAAACGAAATCTATGAAATTGTGTTGGAGGTGTCGTGGAGTGGTGTGGAGGAAACCACTGTCCTTTTAATTGAGCAGGGTTTTTTTTTTTTCCAAATTTTTACCTTAGTCTATGTTTGTAGCACATAATTATTACATTCATCGTGGGCAGGTGGGACACGTGAATAACACCATCTGAATCCCTCCCTGCCCCCATCTCTTGGTCGCATTTCCATTTGCAAAAACCAAATGAGAGGGTTTTGCACCAAAAATAGGGAATGAGAATTTGTAGGTAAAGCACCTCACTGGTGTCTGGTATGCCCTGCACTCTCATGAAAGGGGTGCTTGCTTGCTGGGTTTTTTCTTCTTTATCTAGTGCCAGAGATTGAACCTAGGATGTATGGTTCCTCGTTAAATGCTTTCTTTAAATTTTATTATAATTATTAATTTATGAAAACTGCAGTACTTGAACAACACAATCTTACATGCAGAGCAAAAAGCATACCAGTGGAATCTCATGCGAGTATCCCTGGGAAGCAATGTTATCATGTGTTCCAGGACAGTATAATTGTATTGTCATTAGCAGTCATTAATAAGTACAGATGAAGGACTTAAGTTTGTCAGGCAGTGAGCTGGGGTAAAAGATGAGCACCATTTGAGTTCTGAGGGATGTCTCATACCTGTACCGCCTTGGGGAGGTAGTGGCAGGAGGATCATAGGTTTGAGACCAGCCTCCACAACTTAACGAGACCCTGTCCCAAGAATAAAGAGAGGGGCTGAGGATGTAGCTCAGTGCTGGTCTATTGGCCTAGCATATGAAAGGCCCTGGGCTCAGTCCCCATCACTGGGGGAGTGGATTGAAAATTGGAAAGGATAAGATACTTTCTCTCGGAGTTTGTGATAAGGTAGCTTCATTAATTACTTTTTAAAAAAGACAGCTAGAGAGAATAAAGTCATATCTCAAATTAGCAAGGAAAGAAACCCTCCGTATTATTTACATGTGAAACGTGTTACTAGGGAACATAGCTACACTTGGGGAAATGTTCTTTTCCTACAGTTTCCTCCTCATACAGCTAATTCTACAGTGAGATTTTTGTATATGGCATGTGGTTACATATTTGGCTAAAATATAAAATGTCTTCAGGAATAGGCATATTAAAATCTGTATACTGTTGTTTTAAAGTGCAATGTATCAGTCTTTCCAAGGAAATATATGTTGGCAAAGGAAAGGGGAAAAGTACAAATACCTAGGTGCCTATCCAGGATGGGAGTGTTGTCTCCAGGGGAAAATTTTGAACCCACTTCACTGTTTGCTCTGGACTTACACTGAACAAGAGTGATTCAGTTTGAGTGTTTGTCAGACAAGAAAAAAAAATTCAGAGTCATATAGGAATGGTTTAAGCAGAGAGTTGTTAGGTAAATATTCACATTGGATTACTTTCTTTTCCTTTTATTTGTGAATTTACTTTATCTAACAAAACAGAGCAAGTCCTTTGAAGCCAATACTGAGGCATCTCCAAGACTGTGGTTTCTAAATATTTTAGTCATGACCTGGACATGCAATGAGAAAAATATCTTACACTGGGACATTGTGTATCAGACAAATCTCTAACGTTAGCACACAGACACACCCATGTACACGGACGTGTACAACTAAACCAAAGATTTGCCAGGTAGTATGTGACCTGTGTGCTATGCAGTATAATCTATTCTATTCTATTCTGTGTGTTTTTAAAAATCTTCTGGTCATGACTCACTAAATTGATTTCATGTTCTACTAACGAGTCATGACCTGTAATTCCTAAAACACTGCCTGTCACTGTGAAGAACAACTTCTCCTGAAGTCCCTAAAACCTGCGGAGTCCCTGTCATATTGTTCTGTGGAAGTTTTGGCTTTATTTTTTTTTTGTTCACATTTATTTATTTTATGTATTTATGTGTTTATTTTGCAATGCTGTGCAGTGAACCCAGCCCTTTTTATTTTGAGGCAGAGTCTCGTTAATTGCCCAGGCTGCCCTGAAGCATGTGATCCTCCTGCCTCATCCTCCTAAGTAAATGGGATTGCAGGCATGTGCATTGAACTGAGTTTAAAGGTATGGCTTTTAAATATCCTTTGGAAGGATGCCCTCATTTGAACATTTGTCTTTTTGTTATTAACTTCACAGCACATTGCCCATCCAGTGATAAACACAGGGAAGAGAGCTTACACCTCTACAACCCCAAGACAGAAAGCCTGTGCTTGTTCTCAGAAAGGAGAATAGTAAGGCAACTTTGCAAATTACCCTTCTTGCTCACTGAATCAGGGCAAGTTACATTCCACACCCTGTAGAAAAAATAAAATGTAGATTTCATTGATTTATTAGTTAGGGAAACAAGGACCAGAGGACATTTGGTGGGACCTTGTGTATTTCTACACATCTATATGGTACAAAAGTGATTCTGGTTTCTACTCAAAATATTGGAAAGAAAAAGAGGAAGCTACAGCTCCCAAATTTTTCAGCATCAGAGCTGGGGTGTTTGGTGATAGAGCACTTGCCTGGCATGTGCAAGGCTTTGGGTGCGAACCGCAGCTTCATTCTGGTCCCCAGGCAAAGTAAGAGAAGGAGAAAGGTGAGAGTACTTGTGTACTACTATGAAACAGCACAAGTGGGCCAGAAAACGCCCACTGCTGGACTCCACGGGGTTTCTCAGACTTCTTTTTTGTACATGAAGAAATTGAGGCAGGACAAGAAGCTTGACTTGTTCAGGATTCAGCAGCTACTGGAGAGCAGAACTGGGAAGGCAGATTCAGGTTCAAAGAAGCTGTCTTTCTGTACACGCCTCATTCGCTCTCTCTCTCTCTCTCTCTCTCTCTCTCTCTCTCTCTCTCTCTCTCTCTCTCTCTCTCTCTCTCTCACATGCAGTGTGACCTTTGACTCCAAAGCCCCAGACCTTTGCCAGGAAGGTTGAAGCCAATCTCCAGGTTATCAGAGCACCATCTGTGCTAACCAATTACTAAATCGCTAATCATCAGGGAGACAGAATTTTCCCTGAGCCAAGCCACCCCAGCGAGGGAGTGAGTCACTTCAGAAAGCTTCTTGAGTTGCCCAGGGCTGTGGGGGATCCTGCTGCATGTTGGATCCAGCAGTTAGCTTCAGAGCCTTGAAGACTGCCAAGCACTCCTGAGTTCCTGACCGACCGCTCAGGCTTCCTCAGAGGGGGACCCGGGGTTCACAGCAACATCTACTGAGTTTCCAGCAGTTAGAAGGCCAAACAGGACTCTGTCCTGTGATCAACATGGCTTTTTTTTTTTTAATGTCTGTTTGTGAAGATAGCACAGAATGCAGGATTGTAACCAGGTCAGAGATGAGCCACGAGGAAGAT